CTGCAAGGTAAGGTGTTGAAATGTCAGTATTCACCGTGTGACACTGTCACATCAACTTACCTGAGACCCAGCGTCTGTGTAATATATAAATAGCTGTGACACCGTTATCACAAATTTTCCTCCAGACGTGGGAGAAGTACTCAGATCTTATACTTGTGTGTATTGAGTGTATGAATAGATACTCTGTTACAAGTACTGCATTCAAAATGTCACTCAAGTAAAAGTACAAAAGTAATAGCGTCAAAATATACTAAAAGTACCCAAAGTAAAAGTAGTCATTGTGCAGATTGGTCCATTTCAGAATAGAAATCTTATAATAATAATAATTATATGTTTTGATTATAATTATAGATGCATTAAAGTGTTATCAAAGCTGGTAAAGGTGTAGCTAGTTTTAATGGCTTTGTATGGCAGATACTAATATAGTGCTGGAGGACTGCAGACAAGTTTCAGACTGGTTTTCCCCTGACCAGCAGCAGCTTCGAAGACCAACCGATAATATTCACTCCCTACAATGACAGGAATCCTGACCAACTTCTCCTTTTTCTATATGGTTCCACAAGTTCACTGCTTTATGCTCTCCTAAAGTAAACAGCAGTGCAGCAGCTTTGACTTAATAATATACACACTCAAAACATTCATAATATCTGAAGGAGGTTTATGACATGGCTCAAAAAGTATTTGTTTTCAGTTCCTGGCACTTTTCTATACTTCTGAAACAATTATGTAGAGGTGTAATTACAAGCCATTCCAAATTAAAATAAAAGTAACGTGTGTTTGTGTGTGTAGTCCGCAGCCATGCTGACCTGTGCCTTCTGTGGGGAAGAGATGATGTTGGAGGAGGACATGAAGACACATCTCCTTCTCAGCCACATGGAGAATGCCTCTCGCTGCCCGCTCTGCTCCCTGTCAGGAGTGTCCTACGACGAGCTGAGCTTCCACATCAGCTCTGCACATCCAGAGACGCAGCTCGGAGCGCAGGACCCCCCCCACATCACACCCCCTGCAGGCCGCTCTGCTGCAGCTAACACTCAGAGCCACAAAACCCCTCCCTCCTGCTGGGCTCAGGACAGCTGTGATACAGATGCTGAGGCAACACACTGTACTGACACTATAGACTGCCATAAACAAGACATTACATCCAAGAGTCAGGCTTCATCAACTGGGGAGACCGCAACAATTCAGAGCCCTAGAAGAAGGCAAAAGGCTGTGGCGCTCTCTAATAACAACAATAAGGGATTTAAATCTGAGCACAGCAAAGCCAAACAGAAGCGGCTGTCTTCAAAGAGAGAGGGTGATTCAACTTTTCAAAACTTTATTTGCTAAACTTTAAAGTCACAAATCAACTTGAATTGTCCTGTCTTTGTTTCAGAGGAGCTGTTCTCGTGCCCCATGTGTCCTCAGGTGTGCAACAGCTGTGAGATGCTGCAGGAGCATGTAGAGCTCCACCTGCAGGAGCAGCACTCAGCTGGAGGTAACTTTAGACTAGTGCCCTTTTCCACCAAACCGGTTCCAGGGCCGGCCCCACTCGACCAAGAACCAATACGTCACGCTTACGTCGGAGGGGGGCGAGATTAACCTGAGCAATAACAGTTCATTTTTATTTTAAAAAACACTTTATAAAGTCAGGCAACACTAACTGGACTTAGTGTGATGCAGGCTCTGTGCTGCCATATAGATCACTCTGAAACTCTGAGAGCTCACTGGGAAGAGACCAGTTTTACATTCAGAAAGAAATTGTCAATAAAAAATATAAAAAATTCAATTTACCGGACAAATGGGAAATACGTCAAATATTAGCTGTATTTATTATTGAGCTTAAAAACAATTGATAAAGGAAGACATTAGCTAGCATGTAGATTTATATTTGATCAAAATCCTTATTTTGAAATTCAAGCGTACATAACCGCGGAGCACTGTCAGGGGTGTAGTGCTATTTGTCTCGAAGTGCACCTCGTTTTGAAGGATATGTAACCGCTGTGGATTAACTCTCTCCAGCCAGAATCAGAACAACAGGACATTTGGTAGTAATAAAAGTAAAGCTAAACGTAAGTAAGTAAACGTCCGATCACCAGAGTGGATCAGAGCTGTAATCCAATTTATTTTTGTATTGCATTTGCTGTTGTATAACTAAACAATGTGACGGACGATAAACAGTTAATATTCATTAAATACCTTCAGTTCAAAGACATCCTATGATTGTACATGATGTATCTTTTACTCATGACTTCTTGTTTGTGCAGGGTCAGCACAGGAGGCGTGTTCACCAGCCATAACATCACCATCAGCCCTCCGTCTCTCAGGTGTGTGTCCTCCCCTCTGACTGTTTTCAGCTCACATGGCACAGTATTTCTACCAGCTGCAACAGTGACGCTGGTTTAGATTTCTCCTTGTGAGTGTGTTTGACTGTGGAGAGTTTTTTTGCCTACCACTAAAACCTTATTAGATCCAGTCACAAAATGTTAAGCAACTTCCAAGATTTGGCGTGACAAAACTTTGCTGGTGTGTAGCTGAGATCATGACGAAGGCTGAGTTGGAGTAAGGGCAGAGTTGGGATCGTTACATACAAAATGTATGCCATTACTAGTTACCTGTAAAAAAAAGAACTTAACCTGATAATCAAAATATAAAAGTAATGTAACCTCATTCAATTCCGTTGCTTTTGAAGTACCACAATATTAAACGCAACACAAATACAGTGGGGCACAAAAGTATTTAGTCAGCCACCAATTGTGCAAGTTCTCCCACTTAAAAAGATGAGAGAGGCCTGTAATTTTCCTCCCAGGTAAACCTCAACTATGAGAGACAAAATGAGAAAGAAAATCACATTGCCTGAT